CTCCATCAGACCTTAACTACCTACTGTTAGGGGTATAAGGGTCCTGGTAGGGTTTACCCTAAACCCTAAACCCCTAAACCTCTAAACCCCTTAACCCCTAAAGCCCTAAAACCCTAAAGCCCTAAAGCCCTGAGCCCCTAAAGCCCTAAAGAGAGTCCCACGGCAGGCAGGCTTCTCCGCGCGGCAGCTCCAAGAGGTTCAGTTCGCAGAACTGATCGATTTTTCAACCAGAACTTGGGGCTTTAGGGGTTCAGGGCTTTAGGGTTTATAGGGCTTATAGGGTTTTATAGGGTTTATAGGGTTTATAGGGTGTTTAGGGTTTTAGGGTTTGTAGGGTTCAGACGGTTTAGGGTTTAGGGCTTACCCATAGGCTCCATAGTAGTTCCTTTTTGGGATTACCCATTGGACCCTAAATATAGACCACAAAAAGGAACTACTATGGAGCCTGGGTACGTATAAGGTTAAGGGCTGGCGTAGGTTCGACGGTTTGGGGGATCGGCTGAGCTCTGGAAGCCCCCTTTGCCAGAAGGTGTTGAGGCTGGGCAGGAGTGCTCGTGGCCTAAAGCGGAGCTCGGAAGATCTCGACCGATTCATGGTTGGACTTCGAGAGCTGAGATCTATGGCTTACTGGTGTTGTACCGGAGTTACAGCTGTTGCAACTATTGGCATCCCGTAATGCTACTGAACCCTAAACCAGAAACCCTAATCAATGCTACTGCAGTTCGTGTTGCTATTGGCGCCACTGCAGTTTGCGGTTTGATGCCGACTAGAAGGCCGGATTTTTCCCATGCCTAGCCCCAGCATAATATGATATAGTATAACCCACGACAATATGCACTACACTGCAATACAAATATTTCTGAGCTAAATCTTATCCAACCTAGAATGATATGAAACAAAACAGAACTGAGCACCTCGTGTTGCTACTAGTTCTTTGGTGGAGCTAAAGCTAGTATCACGACCCGTTTGGTTACGACTTGAAGCCGATCATGCCATGCGAACCTACATCCCATTACATGCATAGTTTAAAAGGCAGTAATGGTGGTGCAGCTTCTTCGTAGTTACGCTACACAGACTAACAGACGTGATTCCACAACTGCGTCTGCAGCCACGCACCGCTGCACTCTCGTTCTTTCTCTCTCACACACACATTGCCGCCGCCTCCATGTGTGCGCGTGTTGCTACGACGACCGACTACCACCATTGTTTTGTGCTGATGTCGCAGTTGCAGAACAATTTCCCACGCGGAGTTTCCCAGCGGAACCAACTACAGCATTTTGCGGTCATGGCTCCAATAGCCACGAAGCATACCTCCCGCAGGTTCACCGTGCCAGTACACTCTTTAAATCACTGTTGGCCCCAAACCCCAAACAGCTCAAGCCATCAAGAAACCTTTCATATTCAAATTTTCCGAGCCCTAACGGACCTAGCAGATTCCCTTCGGGGACCATCCGATAGAACTTAATAGAAGGAGAGCCCTTAAACATTTATAGGTGACCGCCGCTCTTGCTTGCGAGGCTGGCTTTTCCTGGAGCGCCCTGCGAGGTGCTGGGCTGACACTGCGGGAGCTGCGACATGTGGCTAGCCATGCACTGGGCTGCTTGAGGGTCTGGGACGGGGGTGGGTTTTGGGATTGTAGGCGTTAGGGAGGTCGGCGTGGCATTGTTATTTAGATGTTCCCAAGAGCCAAACCGTACCATGTAACGAGGTGAAGCGGCTGTCTTGCTCAGCTGGACCCGATGCACATACGATGATGACCGATGAACGCGGAGCATGTCAGATCAGAGTGCGGCAGGATCACGAACAGGAGTTGCCATATTCTAAACATCGAAACTTTTTCCCACACAACCGCTATGACCTTTGCAATCTGATTCGAAGTTATTTCTGTGAAGGTCGTCATTATGAGTCCAAGCAGTATAGATTGATACATGTTGAAACCATGCTTTCATTGAGAACATTCATTCGATAATAAGCCGCATAGGATGTCAGCAGGGCAAACCACAGTTCCTGCCCTCGCCCTGTATCCACAACCAATGTGGGTGTGAACAGGGGACCGTTTCAACAGGATAACAGTTAATAATGGGAGGAGCCAGCCGCTTTTTCGAACGGCTTTGATAATGATGACAACGATGGGCCTTCATGTCCCAAAGAGACAGCAGGTACCGCAAAGGAAAGGTCAGGTCGTGTGGGTCTTGCTCTATAGTCAGGAAATGTGGCGATGACAATTGGGACGGTTGTGGCTGTGATGGTGACAGTGGTGACCATCAAAATAGTGGCGAAGAAAACGGTCACCACGCAGGTCACGCGATCTTGTCAACACCAGGATAAGACGTTCAGGTTGCAACATGCCAGAGGGACAAATGTTGTAGTTGCAAAAGAACCGAATGAGCGTAACGAACAATCGCAAGGCAGGCTACCCGGCCGAAGACTTCCTATCCGGCGCTGTGGACCTCCGGGAGCTGAGATCATTGGGCTTCAGCGCCCGGGAGCTGCGCGAGTCCCTGGGTCCAACAGCAGCTCGGGAGCTGCATGCCGCCGGCTTCACAGCCACGCAGTTGAAGCTTGCAGACTTCGACGCCTGGCAGCTGGAGGAGGACGGCTTGGGAGGGTAAAGCCAACGACATCCAGTGCTGTGGGGTTAACCGGCTTGCTTGTCCCAGAATGGTTACAATTTTAGCCACCTAGTTATATAGTTGCATAGTTGCAGAACCCACTAGTCGCCATTTCCATCATCATTCATCGCCACCAGCAGCACCATCACCACCACTAGTATCAAGATGACGACGATGACGCAGACCAGGATCTTCACAAGCAGCATATAATGCAGCCATCCGACCAGCAGCAGCGTTATGCGGTGGTCTGCCAGTGAAGCCGTCAACGAGCATACACGTGGCAAGTCAGATGCACCTATGTACACGCACCTACACACATGCTTCTCCTCCATATGGGTGTAGGTGCATGCAGAGAAATTTTGAGAGAGAGAGAGAGAGAGAGCGACAGGCGCCAAACTACATAAACTATCCCGATCCCCGAAGGCAGGCTGCAGCATCCCCGAAATCCTGGATGCCGGCTTCTGTGCCCAGCAAATGCGCTACACTTCCCTCTCTGCCGATGGCATGAGGGAGGCCGGCTTTGGAGCGAAAGAACTCTGGGAGGCAGGGGGGCTTCTTAAGGGGAATAGGTTACTGCTGCTACTGCTGCTACTGCTGCTACTACTACTACTACTACTACTGGTCCTCCAACGACGACCTACCACTATGTACATGTATATACACAAGCTCTTCAGCACTTGCCAGGGGCTTGCACATTCATCTGGATCGGACGATGCTGTTGAGCCCTAAACCCGAAATATGGCAGGCGGGCTACAGCCGAAGGCAGCTCGAGTTTCAGTTCACAGAGGAAGAGCTGAATGCAGCAGGCGTCGGAGAGCCTTGCGACTCTTCAGTTCTTTTGTGGGCAACCTTAAGGACGAAAGGATCCTTAAACGTAGGGGCCTATACCCATTTAGAGAGCGAGAGCCGTTGAGACAGATCGAACGATACTGCGCACCCTAAACCCTAAACCCTAAAGAATGTCACCCCCTTGCCTTAGCCACGGAGATCCCGCCAGTAACGTTCCGACTCGGAACGGCCTCAGAACCCCTCAGCGCTAAATTCCTCAGCCGAAAGCTCAAATTCCCCAACCCTTGACCCTAGATTTACCCGAAACCTTAAACTCCCAACCCGAAACCCTAATTTCCTCAACCTTCAGTTTTCAAGCAACAACGCTTACGGTTCAGATGCAGCTTTAGGAACGAGAAGACGAAGCAGAGCTGCGCAAAGTCGGACTGCTGGAGAACAGCAGGTGGGGAGGTGATGGCATCCCAAAATTCTTACGGCTTAGGGTTCGCGGTTCGGGGAGATAGAGTTTAGAGTTTTAGGGATGGGGCCTTTTGGGGCTTAGGTTAAGGGGAGATACGGTGCAGGGCTCTAGGGTTCGGAGAGATATTGCCGGGGTTTCAGGGGTTGGGATTTTGGGGTAGGGCATCCCGGCTGTGTACTTCCACTACTTATAGCCTGGTCTATAGACTTTAGAACAGGTACTCTTGAGGGCTGAGCTCAACCTTGACAAGTCATGCTGGAAGCTTGCTACATCCAAAACCACGACCCCTGAGCCCATCAAGCCATCAACGCCCCTCAACCCTGAACTCTAAACCCCAAATCCTGGCCTGCCTTGAGCGACTGCACGAGTCGAAACCCTGAACCGCAGCCTGCTACTGCAACAACCTCAAACCACACAGCCCAAAGACTCATCCCCAGCCAATCCACAACAGGATCCAAACCCTGAACCCTCCAACCCTAAGCTTAAAACCCCTATAAATCCTAAATCCTGAGCTCAAACCGTAACCGCCATGCCTGCTTTGCGAGTGTGTGAGTCGAAATCCTGAACCCCCAAGCGCGAGGCCGAAAAGTCGCCCGGAGGACACTGGCCTGAGTAGTCTTAGCACGGAGCAGGTTTCGCAAGTGGCCCTGCAGTACCCATGGGGTTAGGGCTCAAGGCTTGGGCGCAAAGATGCTAAAATTGCCGATGAGTTGAGTCGAAGGTTCCCGAAATTATGGCATAGGGTTCGGGAGTTGCAGGTTTCGCAGAGTATAGGTGGCTCGAGAACTGGATGGCACGAGTAGGTGGAGAGAAACTCACTGGTTCTACATTCATTCTCACTTAAGTCATAGGTTTCACCCGAGCAAAGAGCTTGAAGGGCGAAGGGAAAATCAAAATCATGGCTCCGACCCTTGACCCGTACAGTCTCAGTGCGGGTGGTGCTGATGTCCATCTTGGCCTTCGCTGCATATGTGAGATGTAGGTGTGTTCAGGATTATAGCGAGCATGCATTTTACCTTTTCTGACCACTGCTGCTCCTTGCTGTTGGTACACTAGTACTGTACATTAGCAGCAGCAACAGCAGCAGAGTCTCTACTGCTATGACTCCCACCGACTGAGTGTAGGGTTTAGACAGGGTGTTATTATAGCCAGTCATCCGTGTTCATGTCACACCGTTTAGAAAGCGCGGCGGGTCCCGTTTCAAGTGCTACGCGCTCACACCCGAACACGGAATCCTTCTCCCCCTCGAATACGGGACCAGTCTCTTACGGCTCGAAGCAGTTCAGCTTGACTGCAGGGCACCGTTAACTCCACAACTTCGGTTTTCTGATGTAGTCTCTTTGAGGTTTTGGGCTGGAGGGGCCTTCCGGTTGTCGGTGTCGGGTTTGAATTCCGAGCCCATGTAGTATGATTTTTTTGGTAAGAATGGCAGTAACAATAACAATAACGATAGCAACGGCAATAAGAATAACAATGGCAATAACAGTAATTAGTAGTAGTAATGCAAGGGCTAATACGAAGGTCAACAATAGGAATAGCAACACTACTCATATCAGCAATAGTCCTGTGATTTTTGTTATCATCGTGATTAAGTTTGTCATCATATTAGGATTATAGTTGGTTATGATTTCGGATCGGTTCTTTCAGCCACCATCGGAAGCCCGAGAATCCTAGTAGTCCGAAACCCTGAAGACCCCATTCAGGGTTGGGTAGGGCTTTGGGGGTTGGGGCTTGGGGTTTCGGGTTTGGGTTGTGACTGTATTGTGACTTTGCAAACTTTGTTCGATGCAGGATTTCGTGAAATCATGCAGTGCTGCTTCCCAGCTGATCAGCAGAGTCTGGGTTCACAAAGCGTGTAGGGTTTGGGGTTTAGGGGTCGGGGTTCAGGGGTTGGGGGTTAGGGTTTGGGGTTTAGGGTTTGGGGTTCAGGGGTTGGGTTTAGGGGTTGGGGTTTGGGGTTCAGGGGTTGGGGTTTAGGGGTTGGGGTTTGGTGGTCAACAGGGTTTAGGCCCCGCTCCAGGCACCTTCGTATGGTGAGCGGACTCCGTCACCATCCGAGGCCTGCACACCAAGTGTAGGAGTAGTCGGAGAGAAGCACACAGCGTTTTGCAACCCAAAACACGGCGTCTACTCCCATGGGCCATAAAAAGCTCAAGAGCCGACACATCAAAAGTTCTTCCGTTGGATAGTTGGGTAGTGTCATCAAGAGGGTGGCGCTGACGCAAATGATAATGATGCTGACGATGTGGGTGCTACAGGACAAAGCTTGCTGGCTTCCTGAGATCTAATGTTACCGGTCTTCCACCGAGACATTAAGCCCATACCCTCCGCTTAGGGTTCCAACATCCAACACACGCAAACCCCGGATGCTCAGATATCCAAGCGCAAAAATTCACCTGACCTTAAGACGAAATGTTTCATGAACAGGCAATTGTCCCGCATGCTGGCAATACCCACGTCCATTGATTACAAATCCGACTACGATGTCCAAACACTTCGGGCCCGAATCTTCAAACCAAAGCGCATAAGACCCCTCACCCGACCCCAAAATGACGTAAGCCTGCAACCGGAGGCCCTGAGACTCGCTTGTTTCGGGGGGTTTTCAGCTGTTTGGGGAGTTTATGGCAAATGCGGCTAACACCCCAATGTTGCTCCCCTAACCTGGGGAAGACCCTAACAGGGTAGTGCAGCCGGAAAACTTCGCACCTCGAAGCTGGCGGGTTGTACATCGAAGACTTTAGCTTTCGGACATCAGGACGTGCAGGATTTCAGGTGACCATTTCCAACCCGAATTCGTCGTCACCGCAGAGCGAGCCCCCTACCCCCCGAAACGCACGGGATAGCAGCAATACTCGAATGAAGGATCCCCTCAATGTTCTGAAGGAACAGCAACGGCTGGATCCAGCAAAAAGCAGTCAACACTTCCATGGCACTACTGCATTGGGAGCACCTCTTGCAGCATGAAAGGTCTCCCAGAGAAGTGCGAGTGGCGACGTGCCCGAGCAGGCCAGCATAGTGGATCGTGCACTATGACGGCCGGGTGGGGGGATAAGTGGTAGTGTTTTTTTCACCGTTTTCTGCAGCGCTTGGGTTGAGGTAGAGGAGTTTGGCATATACCACAGCCTTGTGTGTGTTTTTGCAGAGGCTCCAACTCGAAAGCTTTGGACTCTGGAATATCTGGAGCTCCAGGAATACAGGCAGTTTAGGGTTTGGTTCCCCTAAACCCTAAACCTTATAAACCCTAAACCCTAAACCCCAACCCTAAACGGCCTTGAGGGGCGTGGTCAATGTCGGCTCCAAGGCACAGGCTCTAAGTCTTCACCCTTTCTCGAAAGTCTCGAGTTGGTGCTTCTTGAGCCAAACTCACGCAATTCGGGAGGCAAAGCTGCTAAATGTTTTGGTTTTATTCCATGACTGGAATGATGCGTCTCAGACGCCTAAACCCCAAACTCAGGGGTGTCAGCATCGTTCTCAGGGCGCGCGGAAGGGTTGGTAGCTGCAACTCAGAGGTGCAAACCCAGCTTAACGACGAAGCATGATCTTTGACAAGTTCCGCCATAAACCCCAAGCCTACGTAATAATTGTAGCCGTCGGAATCATGAGTAGCAGTATCCCACCCTAAAACTTTAAACCCAAACCCTAAAAACCCTAAACCGAAACCCCAAGCCTACTTAATATAGCTGCCCCACCCTAAACCCTAAACCTCCCAGTATCGCCTTATCACAGTCTTTTGAAGCTGTCGTGGGTACCTGTTTCAAGGTCGAGGGATCTTTCCATGACCCCGTCTAGTCATTGTCGTATATTATCGTATATTATTATAGAATATCTTAATAATATAGTATAGATTAGTAGAGTAGAGTATAGTCTAGTATAGTCGTTACAGTACGTCATGGTATGTCATAGTCTGTATAGTATTTTTTAGTATATTATAGTCATTACCATATCCTACAGTATACTATAGTCATCATAGTATAGTGGAGTACATTATAGTCATTATGGTATCTAGGACTATTTTCTAGTCATCATGGTATATTATAGTATATGATTGGATTGTGTATTGAAGATGGGTACTTGGGTTCAGGCTGTCGGGTGTTGGAGGCCAAGGCTCGGGGCTGTAGAGTTCAGCCTTCAGGGCTCCAGGTCGTTTAGGGATTTTGGGTTTAGGGCTTAGGGTTTTAGGGCTTTTAGGGTTTGGGGTTTAGGGTTTGGGGCTTAGAGTGGTCCAGGCGACCTCGAATAGCGCAGTTCCTGCTGGGGAGGTGCGGGGCAGGGCGAGTTTGAAGTTTCAGGGCTGCAGCTGGACCCTGAGTCCTGAACCTACTGCGAACCCCTCGGTCTTTGAAGCCCCGACCCGAAACCCTGCGTGCGAGTTTCATTCGAAGGGGACCCCTCCAGGCAAATCTTTCCAGGAGTGTTTGGGCACTGAAATTCGAGCTTGTGGAGTTTGTGTTTGAGGGCCTTGCGCACTGCAAGCCATTGTGGGGAGTGTAGGTTTACGCAGTCGAAAATCGAGCTCCAAATCGGCTAGTGGCCTTGGGAGAACAACTTCAAGCTTAGGAATCTTCAATTGGGGTCCAACATGTTTAACAGAGTTTGAGTGAACCCTGTACCACCTGAAGGTTTCGGTGCTGTTCAGAGTAGTTGGGGTTTCGGATGCAGGTTCAGCGATGCGGAGCTTCGGTGTTTCAGCATCGTGGACTGTAGCGCTTCATGCATCACATCGTGACGATCCGCATAACGCAATGCAATGTGCTGGGGCCGGGCACTCAAACGAGCCGCCCAAAAAACTTATAACAGCTTGCTCAACGCGTGCGCGCGCACACAGAGCGACCGGCCCATGATTCTCATTAACCTGTCATCTATGTCATCTCAAACAATCAGTCCGACTATTTCCATCTTGGAATCCCTTGGCTATTAAATCGGCTACTCGTCTACGTAGGCTTAGAACCGAAACCCTCTGAAACTTGCTCAGGTCTCAAAGA